ATTATGTATCCAGCCATTCAATATTAATGAAATATAGCCTACTTAGAGAAATGATGCCTTATACTCTTCAAAATACTCTTTAGACTTCATATACACTTATCCCAGCATTCCATTCACTTTTCAAAATAGTCTGCAAAATCCTCTTCTGAGATTACACTCAGCTGTCTTGTCATGTTCTCTTTAATTTTATCCATGGCATTTCAATAGTGATTTTTACATTTGGAAAAAAGGCAAGTAGCAAAATCTGTGGGTGGGGATTGACAGTCTTGGATAATGCAATGTTTTACTAAAAAAACACACATAAGATATGAAGAATCTACATGTCTGGTCACTGAATGTGACAGTCACACAGTAGATAAAGCCACTAGTGACATCTCATTGCTGACTGAGTAACCCTATGGGAGAGTGTCTGTTCTCCTATCTTCAGTAAAGACACTTCAGATTGGTTGCCAAGTTACATTGAGGCAGTACAACCTGTTTTATTTGATATCCAAAATGGCTGGTTATATCCTGTATATTCTTTGTATATATTTATTATAGTTTTAGAAAGCTACCTGTAGTATCATATGCAAATTATATAGACAAGTATAAATAGAGAACAACTGGTGAACATAGGGTTGCTATGCCTTGCAAACCCGATTGTTATTCAGGACATGGAGAACTGTACTAAGACTACTACTACTACACAGAGAGATATGCAAAACATAACAATGGTGTTGCTGATATGATTGTTAAATTTGCTGGATGACCCAGAAGGCATAGAAACATAGATAAGAAATTTTGCTGCATTTGCAAAAATGAAAAAATTAAGAGACACAAAGACTGATGGAGGAGAGAACCAGATAACAGATTCATTTCTTGCTACCGCTGGGTGTGAAGCTGTAAAGAAAATTTCAACAATGTATTACCCAAGTGAATTAAAAGAAATGACATTTGAAGAAATTATTAAAATTATAAAAAAAAACATAAGACCAAACAAAAGATTGGTCATCACCAAAAGAACCAGGTTTTTAGAGACAAGACAAGCACCCAATGATTCCATTATACAATACTTACATAGATTGAAAGAACGAGCCAAGTATGATGAATTTGAAAAATTGGGTGCACGGGAAATGACTATAGAAAATGAATTAATCCTTCTCAGAATAATTGAAGGCTTGCAAGACCAAAACCACAAACAAAAAATACTAGAATGTCTACAGAGTAGTAGCATGAGTTTGAAGGTAGCATCAAGTTTTTACAACAATTAGCTTTGATTAGAGAATGTAATCAAAAGAATTTGAGATGTACATGATGAGCATGGCCATTAAATGGAGATATTGTTGAAAAAATCATGAGAGCGATAAGTACAAATGACCTGATCTAGGAAAAATATGCTCAAATTGCAAAAAAAAGAGATCATTTTCAGAATGTATGCAAATATGAAAAGAAAATAGAAAAAGAACAAATGGTACAAACTCCCTCCGAAGAAGATGCTGAAATATTTACAATGAATGCACAAAAAAGAGGTAGAGAAAAAATAAAGATAAATGACCAAATATTTAACATGCAAATTGATACAGGCAGTGAAGTCACGTTGATACCAAAAATTTCTGGATAAAATTAAGACAACCTAAATTTAAAAAAAGCAGCATCCAATTAAAGCAATTTGATGGAATCACTATAGAACTAATGGGTACATTTCAAGGCAATTTTGAAACCGACAAGCCTTTTAAAATAATTCCCATTACAGTTGTAGAATGCAAAAAACATCACGGATTACTAGGAATTGATGTATGAAAAGTAGATACAGTGAGACTAATCGATTCCAAGGAAGCAGAAGAAAATGAAATAGGATTATTGAAAGACTATTAAGCAAGCATTCGACTAAAAGAAAATTATCACCCAAAATATATAGAGTCAAGAAAAGTTCCAATTCATATCTAGTAGTATCGTAGTAGCCAAATTAAACAAAATGATATAAAGGCATACTAGAAACAGTAACTCAAGGTGGTAGCAATTGAGTGTCACCGATATTAGCAATAAAGAAACCTGATGGAGATTTATTTGTGGTGATTACAAGATAGGGGTAAATCACGATATGTTCAGATTCTTTTCCTTTGCCAAATATCAAAACTGTGAGCCATGAGTTAGCAAAAATGGAGCACTTTGCAAAAACTGATCTCATTGCAGTATACAACCAAATAGAGATTGATGGAAAATTCAAGGAAATCACCATGATAAACACGCCTATAGGCTTACTAAGATGTACTTGTCTACCATTTGGAGTAAAGACTTTGAGCCATATTTTTCAAAAAGCAATTGAAAGTCTTATTAGGAAAAATAAAAATATAATAATATACCAGAACGATATATGTGTAGAAGAATCAAAATATAAAACAGCAAATTTTAGTGAGATTAAAAAAGGCAAGCATGGCTGTAAACAAAAACTAATATAATTTTGACTGTAAGAAGATATAATATTTAGGATATCAAATATCAAAAGAAGGTGTATTACCCGATGATAGACTAACAAAAAAAATAACAGAAATAGCTGCTCTAACAAATAAAAAAGAATTAGAATTCTTTTTGGGCCTAATAAATTTTTATAGTAAATACATATCAAGATACAGTGACATAATAGAGCCATTTGCAAAATTACACAAAAAAAACCCAATGAATTTGACTGGACACAAAAGCAAACTAGCGCTTTTGAAACAATAAAGGAAATACTGAGGAACAAACGAATAATAAAAATTTTTGATCCAGAAAAAGAAGTAATGTTAACTACAGATGCAGGTGAAAAGGCGATTGTTGCTATTCTATCTCAAGAAGAACACCAATCTTGTACATATCAAGGTTAATTTCAGCAGAAACTAACTACTCGAACATTGAAAAAGAAGCACTGGTGATGGAAAAGGCACAACACTTTTTGATAAGAAAAAGTTCTTATTAAAATCATACCACAAACCATTAGAATTTATATTTAACCCAAGAAAAGAATTGCCAAAAGTCACATTGTCAAGAATTTTAAGATGGGCAATGAAAATCATGGCATTCAATTTTGACATAGTATATGTAAAAGGGAACATTATCCTTCACATAAACACTTTATTAAGATTACAGTTCAAGAATGAAACAAGAAAAACAGGAAAATACTGAAGATAAAATAATACACTGGGTAGAAACGAACGGTCTTCCTCTAAATAGACTCAAAATAGAAACAAAGCAAGACCCAATATTAAGCAGAATAGTAGAGAGAATAAAAAATAATATATGGAGCAATTGTCCGATGGCAGAGCCACCCTTTAAAGAAATGAAACACAAACTAACCATCGAAAATGGCATAATGTGCAATGGGGATATAATAGTAGCTCCACAAATTCTGAGAAGAGACATATTAAAAGGAGTACATGATGACGTGCATTGTGGCATAACAGCAACACAAAGAAGACTAAAGTTACAGCCTGGTGGCCAGGATATTCAAAAGATGTAGCAGAATACATTAAGAGATGCCCAAACTTCAAGCAAGCAAAAATTCACTCATGGTCTAAGGAAGCGGAGACATGGGTTAGGGTCCACATTGATCACGCACATATCAAAGATAGCAGGTTGTTCTTAGTATTAGTGGACTCATATTCAGGATGGCCAGAGGTTGTCAGTGTAAAAAAAAGAAAAGCCACCACAATAAAACAAGTACTAAGAACTATATTCTCAAGGAATGGAGTACCCCAGACAATAGTTACTGACAATGCACCCGAATTTTGTGATGAGAACTTATGTGCATGGTTAAAACAGATTGGATGCATCCCATAAAAAGACACCACTGTACAATCCACAATCTAATGGCATTGAGGAAAGAATGGTAGAAACAGTAAAAATAGGATTAAAAGCATTCTCACCACTTGATGAAAACATAGAGGCATATCTACCAAAAATACTCCTCAGTTACAGATCCATGCGGGAAGAAAACTGAGCCCTTCGGCATTAATGGGAAGACAAATCAGAGCCTCCATAACTATGTCCTTTGCAACATAAGAAAAGGTATGGTATAGGAAGAGTAAAGAGGCTAATCCAGAAGCAAATTTCCTGATACAAAAAGGACACAACATGGCTATACTTGAGAAGAAGGAACAACATATACTGGCACATGCAGACCATTTCAGAAGCAGAAACAAAATGTATGATGTGGAAATGGAAGATCAAGAACAAGAAGAGACAGAAAATTACAAAAGTGGAACAGAGCAGGAAATGGAAGAAAGGGGGAATGAAAAGACAGATGAGTATGAAGAAAATGAAGAGAGACCGAGATCACCATTAAAGAGAAAACAAGAAAGACAAGAGGAAGGACAACACAATATGAAAATAATCAGGAATAGTAAAAGAAAAAACAAGGATATATGACCTCTCCAATTCAGAGAGATGTAGTATTGTATGCAAATTACATAGACAAGTATAAATAGAGAATAACTGGTGAATATAGGGTGGCTATGCCTAGCAAACCCGGTTGCTATTCAGGACACAGAGGACTATACTACAACTACTACTATGCAGAGAGATATGCAAAACATAACACTACCAAAATAATAGTTAAAGAGAAATTGTCCCTAATTGCATATTTGAGAAAAGTTAAAAAAATGAAACTTGTCTAAAGTAAACCAGGAATTAAACAAGGTAGATAATCTTTGAGTTATTTTATCAACACTAACAGCATTCTGCACCAATGTGTATGATAGCAGATCTTTGTTTTATTTCACTTGATTAGTAGTGTTCATTCAATTTATTTAACTAGTCCTCATGTTTACTGAGACTTGATTGTTCTTTAAAGTTCTTTTTTCTTTTTTGAGGTTGAAAATATTGAATGGATTATGTGTGATGACTGCCAGAAATGGAGGAAAATTTCTTGTGAAGATGCAAAAGAGTTCCATGGTAGCAAGAAATGGTTCTGTTCCCTGAATAAGAATCTTGCATTTAACCAATGTTTTGTACCTGAGGAATGTTATTCAAATCTTATAAAAATAATGCGCCAAAAAGATCTGCATGTTGTAATTTTGGGCTTACAGCTAGGTGATTTAGTTTGGGGAAAAATGGAGACATTTCACAAGTAAGTATTTATACAAGGACCAAATGTTTTTGATTTTAAGTGATATTTAGAATACAAATTTTTGTTTAAACTATTGCTGAATTAATATGCACATTGATAAAATATTAATGAGAAAATATCTTTTTTGTTATGTAATCTTTTCTTTTAATAAAGATACTGTAAATTTTTCTTTTCTTCATAAAGATGGCCTGCACTCATTACCTGTGATCCAATTTGTGGACAATTTGTTTATAGTGAACTTGGTTACGAGGTTCAGTACCATGTGGAATTTTTAGGGGCAAAGCATTCACATGCTTGGATTAAGGGATATTGTATTGAACTTTATAGTGAGACTGTCTTTAAGAATGATTTGGTGAGTAATCTCTTTAAAAAACGTTTTTCCACTTAGCATCTACATTTTGCCACTTAACAAATTTCTTATTTATATATGTATTCAATTAATATGTATATACATATTGGTAGATCTTTTAGATCAGGCACAGGCAACATTTTTCAAGCAGTGGGGCTGCATGATCTATGGCTCATCACAAGGCAGGCTGCATGAATAAAAATATTCAAGGTAATTTTTTGCAGTAGGTACCTTATCTATTTTCACTACAGAAGACCATATGCGTAAGCATATACCTTAGAATTGGGGGAAAAGTTGATTTTTTTTTTCTTTGGAGAAAAGGTTTTTCTATAATTAAAAAATTGAAGTCTTAGTATAATATCATTGATGACTGATTAGCGCATGTTGCTGCATATGATTTATTTCTAATTAATTCATTAAATAATAAAAACATATTTCTTTTTTAAAGAAAAGATTGTTATGAATATTTCCTGTTTCAAAAGAAAAAGATGTTTTAAAATGCTAAAAACATTACTTTTATTGAAAATTTACAAAATTCAAGAAACATTCTATTTAATCATTGTTTATGTATATGGCTATGTATGAGAGAGTGTGAATGGACAAGTGAGACCAAAACAAAATTTTAAGAAACATTATTTTCCTTATGAAATTAAATGTGTCATTCAGAAAGACCAAATGGGCTGCATGCAGCCTGAAAGCCACAGTTTGCCACAAGCAACAGCTTGCTGCAAGCCACAGTTTGCCTATTTTAGATTTTACAACTATATATCATATATGTATATATCCTCTGCAGTAAGATATATATTGTAAAATTGATGCATATTGTACTTTGATCTCTGAATATTTCATGCTACAAGTTAGCATATGTATTTCTGAATTGAGCATAAAAATATGAATACCTCTGATAAACTTTTGGAAGAGCAAACTATTTTTAATCAGCACAGATATGACCATCAAATTTTATAGTTTTCTTACTCTACTTGTTTATAATTTCCAACTTTAAAGTGAGTTTTGACAAATTTTAAAAAAATTTAATTTAGGTATTCGATAAGATACATACATGATTTTGTTTGGAAAACTCATAAAGACATAGCTACTATGAATTCTATTGCTACTACTTTTATAAAAATGTAAGATATTTTAAATTGCTCAAAAGGTTTCCATATCATTTAACAGGACAAACAGCAAGTATATTACATCATAAAACATGTACAGAATTTGTTTTGCTTTTATTCTTAAGTATTTTCAGTAAGTCAAAGGTATGATTTTAGTACTCAAGTGTCTTCTATTGGTTTTTGTTAGTTATTTGACATTTTTTGCTATAGACACTCCTAAATATGATTTAATTTCTTGTGACTACATAGCTAGTTGTAGAGGAAAGGTGTTTACAATTATATTCTCTTAAAAGTTTTTTTTTTGACCTAGGTGATATGCTTAAATTCAACATTTTTGCATTGCTGACTTGGTGATTATATGTTTTAAAATTTTTTTTTTATATTCAGCAGAATTCGAAATTGATAAATAAACTTTGCTAAGTCACAAGTATTCATTAATTTCATTCAGATGTTATTTTCATAGTTATATTTTAATATTTTCAGATAAGTTAGCAGAGTAAAAGAGCTGTTAATTTTGTATGAGGTGTATCTAAACTGGAACAATTATTATTGCTTTTAAATTTTTGCTTAACGACAGACTATAGCATCTAACTTTTTTCAGCTTCAAAAATATAATTCCCATTTGCAAACATGCATGCATATCTATGTATTGTACTAGACAAAGTTAAGCACAATGTTTTAACTGAGATTAAAATCTAGATTAAAAAATAACTTTAAATCTCTATGTGTAGTTCACAAAATACTTTATTAAAACTATCCAGGTGAATACTCTTATAAAGTTCAAAGGTTCATGAATGTGGAAAAATAAGTTTGTGCTTCATTTCTTTAAAGGGTGGCTCTGCCATCAGACATTTTCTCTATATATTATTTTTTATTCTCTCTACTATTCTGACTATGTGACTTTTGGCAATTCTTTTCTCGGAGTTTAATTTCCCATAAACAGACAACGAGATATTCTGGTGTAGTTGCAGTAATAATTTTAGCTTTTAAATCAGATATTTCAAGTACAATGTTATATTTACTTTTTGTTTACTTATTTAATTAGCCTACCTCTAATTACCTCATTTTTTTAGTTATTAAAACATATAAGTGTTACAAAAGAATGATCTAAAAAATTAAGAACTTTGTAAATACAGGAATCTCTCAATTAGTGTGGCTTATGTGTACATTAGATGATGTGCGCTAATCAAAAAGACATTAATCAAATATAATAACTTGTACCTCAAATTTTAGTCTCATTCAAAATCAATTTCTAATTTTCACACTTTTCAATTAAAATGTAAGTATATATAAAAAGACACAATAAAAATGCTATGAATTAATGTTTATTAATCTGATTTTCATAAAAAAACTTATTTAGAGTGGTTTGATGCATGGTATTCTTCTGTTCGTCATATAATTGGCGGTACTGAGAAATTGTCCCATCAAATTTCCCAAACATATAATCATTAGTATTTTAACTTGAAAATTATATTTATAATTTTTCCACAGTAAATGTTTTATATTTCAATATTTTTTAATAAATGTAAATTTCTGTATCTAATGAAAATCGTCCATTTTTTTGTTAACAAAAAAATTAAAAATTTCCTCTTAAGACCTCCAAAATAAACATGAAAAGAATCAAAATATTAAAAAAATTTTAATAGAAACAAATATTCAAATATGTATTTTTATTATCAGCTTATATTATAAAATTGATCTATTTATAACTGTCCATTTTTTAACACTACTATAATTACTTAGATAACGTAATACTTGGCAAACAAAATAGTTACCCATGTTCCATTTTTAAATTCTAGAAAATCTTTAATTAATCAGTAACTATAAAAATATCAATTTTCAATTACTATGGTTAAACTGAAGAATGTTTTATTAAACTAATTGAGTATTATGTAAGCACTAATCAAATTTGGGTATATAAAAATTTTAGCACACTAATTGAAAATGCATTAATTGAAAGTACATTAATCAAGGGATTCCTGTATAAAAATAATGTCATTCAGCAATGCATGATCTCTGTAAATAATGTGCCAAAAATGCATGTCTTATTCACTTTCAATTTATAGTAAAATCTTATAAACGCTATCATTAAAATCTTATAAACTCTATTTTTATCTCCAATGTAGATAATGTCAGTTTTACACAATCTAAAGATGGATCAATATATCTGTAATCTGGCATAATAGCTTAATTTTGATCTGAAATTTTCACTAATGTTTGATTTATGCGATTAATATTTACAACTGAATTAATTGTAAGGAAGGAGATTATGTTGAGAAATAATTCTTATCTAAAATAAATGTTTTTTTATCATTAGGTTGTGGACTTACATGTGTATTATATTTTGCACACTGAAAAGTATTTGCAAAATAAAATAGCAAACTGACAAAATTTACCCAATATTTACACAAACTTTAAACTAAATTATTTCTTACAAGAATAAAACTATAAATGGCAAAATTGTGTATTTTATTACAATAATACTTTCTCATAATCCTTAGTAGCTTTTGAAATATTTTAGGGATGGTAGTTATGCCTTATCTATTCAAATGTTATTTTTGTAGATTTTTCATAAAGTTTTTAAGGTTTTAGTCAGGAAATTGTATTTTTTATACTATCAGCACGAAAAAATTAAAATTTGTCAGAATCCATTTGTTTGTGCATGCAATGGATTTATGAGTTCCTTTTGGAAGATAAATGAAATTCTGACAAAGTTTTGAAAATATTGATTTTTTCAGGAAGTATTTTAAGGGTTTCAATCAAAATTTAAATTTATCTTTTACCTTGTAATTTTGATAATGTGGTGACAATGAAATTCAATTTACCTTTTGGGTGGGTGTGTTATTTATATTTGTTTGCATATTTTTATTTACAGATTGCAATAGCTATTAGAGATGTGATTAAATATACTTTAATGTTTAAAAAATTTTATTCAGTATTATTATTGTTTAGGTAATAAAAGTTATAACATATCACAAATAGCTATCTTGTGGAAAAATAAGTGAAATTACCTGTGTGTGTGAAATTGCAGTCAGACGTGGAAGGCTGAGTGTTTGCCATGGCTTGTTTTTCAATTACTAATTGTTTTTAATTACTAATTTTTTTAATTAATAACTGTTTGTACTCTGTTGTTGACATTAATATCTTTCTGCTGATGTGTTAAAATTTTGGAATAATGCAATAAAAATTCAATAATACAAAAACATAATGCACTAAAAATTTAAATTCCATCTTTCTAATAGATGTCGCAATCTGTTAAATCAAGTATAAATTTATAGTTTCACTGTAATGCTTTGATTTTAGCCACAAGGGGATTTTTCACTGAATTTTGTATGAGAGCATGCTGGAAAGTTCTTAACTTGACCCACTTTCTAACATGTGACCAAATGACTAAGCATCAAATGTATTTTATGGGTTGTAGACATCTTGGTTGGATTGAGAGTTTTTCAGTGCCCACTTGCATTCCACACATACAAAAATAGTTGGTCTTCTGTTCTTTTGTGCAGATTATAGTTTTAAGTAATTTATTCAAATAATTATTATTGGTGAGTGATGAAATCTAAACAGATGCAAGTAGTCTATTATAAAATTTTAGCAACAGGATGATTTAGAGTCTCAAGTGATTTTCTACTGTAATATTATTAGCCAAGTTGAATTGTAACATTCTTACACAATATTTCTGTCTATAAAATTATTGTTTTTGCTTTGCAAATTTGGAATAAAAAATATATATCTTATTAGAATTATATTTTCCCCAATATTTGGAAGAAAATATTTAAAATAACTTAGAATTCATTATAACTAGGATTTGACTGTCTTGCATTATTTAGAAAGAAGTGATAACAGAAGCAGATCTACCAGTGAGATCATGTTTCTTCTAGTGACCAT